ACAATATATTTTGATCAATTGAACTGATTCAGAACGTTCAGTGTGAGTCTCTGCTTAGCAAGTCAACTGATTCTCATGATCTGTTTCTGAGTGAGTCACTGGTAAACAATTCCCTGATTCAGATGAATAATATCGAGTCAAATATTTACTGTCATCACTGCAAAGATGAAATAAATCCGTCATTAGAGATGACTTACTAAAACTATTATGTTTATAAATGTGCTGAAAAATCTTCTCCCTGTTAAACAGAAATTATACAGGAGGGCTAAAAATTCTGGCTTCAACTGTATTGTGCAAAAATATGAACTCTCTTTTTTTTCCACCAGTAGGTTTTTAGGCTAAAAAAGAGAGATTTATCCGAACAGGAGAGGATTTAATTCTCACACTGAACTGCCGAAGGTCAGCTGAACTCCCCGTCTGGCTTTCTAACAAGGGTCAGTGCGAGACGAGTCAAACACGTCTCCCGTCTCATTTATGCACACACTATTTATAGCTCCTGCAAATTAGCGGAGCTGACAGCGGATGATCGGACTGCAGTCGCGTGAGTCTCGCCTGACGTCTGTCCTGCGGTTCACACTCACACACACACTTCATCAATCTCCTCTAAAACACCTCTGACAGCGCAAACGCTTATTCTGTGCTCAACTCAGGGGGTTATGGCAATATAATTATATACAGTTGAAGTCAGATTTATTAGCCCTCCTGAATATGTTTTTTCCAATTTCTGTTTAACAGAGAGAAGATTTCTTCAGCACATCTCTAATCATAATAGATATTATTATTATTATATTATATAATATTATAATAATATAATATTATTATTCACTAGATATTCTTCAAGACAGATTAAAGTGACATTTAAAGGCTTAGCTAGGTTAATTAGGCAAGTAATTGTATAACAGTGGTTTGTTCTGGAGACAGTCCAAAACAAATATTGCTCAAAGGGGTTAATAATATTTACCCTAAAATGGTTGAAAAAATTAAAAGTTGCTTTTATTCTAGCCAAAATAAAACAAATAAAACTTTCTCCGGTAGAAAAAATATATAGGATATACTGTAAAAAAGTCCCTGCTCCGTTAAACATCATTTGGGAAATATTTTTAACAGGAGTGCTAATTTTGACTTTAACTGTATGCAGTTATACACTCACCGGCCACTTTATTAGGTACACCTTACTTGTACCGGGTTGGACCCAATTTTGCCTTCAGAGCTGCCTTAATCCTTCATGGCATAGATTCAACAAGGTACTGTAAATATTCCTCAGAGATTTTGCTCCATATTGACATGATAGCATCACACAGTTGCTGCAGATTTGTCAGCTGCACATCCATATTGTGAATGTCCCGTTCCACCACATCCCAAAGATGCTCTATTGGATTGAGCTCTGGTGACTGTGGAGGCCATTTGAGTACAGTGAACTCATTGTCATGTTCAAGAAACCAGTCTGAGATGATTCACGCTTTATGACATGGTGTGTTATCCTGCTGGAAGTAGCCATCAGAAGATGGGCACACTGTGGTCATGAAGGGAAGGACATGGTTAGCAACAATACTCAGCTAGGCTGTGGTGTTGACACGATGCTGAATTGGTAATAATGAGCCCAAAGTGTGCCAAGAAAATTTCCCCCACAGCATTACACCACCACCACCAGCCTGAACCGCTGATACAAGGCAGGATGGATCCATGTTTTCACGTTGTTGAAGCCAAATTCTGACCCGATTATCTGAATGTGGCAGCAGAAATGGAGACTCATCAGAGCAGGCAACGTTTCTCCAATCTTCTATTGTCCAGTTTTGGTGAGCCTGTGTGAATTGTAGCCTCAGTTTCCTGTTCTTAGCTGACAGGAGTGGCACCCGGTGTGGTCTTCTGCTGCTGTAGCCCATCCGCCTCAAGGTTGGACGTGTTGTGTGTTCAGAGATGCTCTTCTGCAGACCTCGGTTGTATCGAGTGCTTATTGTAGTTACTGTTGCCTTTCTATTAGCTGGAACCAGTCTGGCCATTCTCCTCTGACCTCTGGCATCATCAAGGCATTTGCGCCCACAGAACTGCCGCTCACGGGATATTTCCTCTTTTTCAGACCGTTCTCTGTAAACCCTAGAGATGGTTGTGCGTGAAAATCCCAGTAGATCAGCAGTTTCTGAAATACTAAGACCAACCCGTCTGGCACCAACAGCCATGCCACGTGCAAAGTCACTCAAATCACCTTTCTCTCTCATTCTGATGCTCGTTTTGAACTGCAGCAGATCGTCTTAATCACGTCTACATGACTGAATGCATTAAGTTGCTGCCATGTGATTGGCTGATTAGAAATTTGTATTAAGGAGCAGTTGGACAGGTGTACCCAATAAAGTGGTGAGTGTTATTATACACACACACACACACACATATATATATATATATATACAGTTGTGAAATTTGAATTCATTTTCAATTATTTCCTTTTTCTTATTTGTTTCAGTGTGGCTGCAATAAAATATTTTTTTATTTTAAACTTCTAAGGTCAATATTATGAACTCCCTTAAAGGTACCCTACAAAGAAAATCTGGGTATATCTAGGTGGAATAATAAGAGATCAGTAT